TTTAGAGACTGAGGAATTATGTGAGAAAATAGACTGCGGCCCGGCATGACGATGTATGAAAAAGTTGTATCATAAATATTAATATTCTGTAATATTTTTTAATAAATACATTAAAACAAAAGGTTACTAGTCAACTAAATATAGGATATTTTTCTATAAATTTGGTTAACGTTTGAAATTTTAATTTAGGAAACACACTATATTTTGGAATGGACGAAGTATATTGATTAACACCATGCTTATTAGCCGTATAGAGCTCACTTTTTTTAATTTATAATATACATTTAGTGCATTCGATTTTCTAGCACAAATAGCCACTCAAGAAAGAGGAGGAGAAAAAAATATCTGCAACCAAGTGTACCTAGATATGGTAAATCAGCTAACAAGAGGGTCTTGGGCGCAAGAAGAACATATATACCCCCTTCATTCCAAAGTATACTTCATTCCAAGAATCTTGTAGAGTCAAAGTATCTCAAGTTTAATCAAAATTATAGAAAGAATTACAAAGATTTATGACATCAAATATGTATACTATGGAAATATAATTAATGAAGAATCTAATAATACTTAGTTGGTGTCATAAATGTAATTATATTATTATATAAATTTGGTTAAACTTGAGATGCTTTAACTATCTAAGATTTTTGAAATGACTTATAATTTAGGTATGAGAGAATACTAATAGTACTACACACCACTGACCAATCGGCAATAAGAGACTTTAGAAAATAAAAGATCGAATATACTGTACTACTACTATGACAGAATATAGGAGTATGACTAGCTACAGTGGATGTGGATGGATCAGTCCGTTTGAGCTTATAAGTCAGAATTAACTCTACTTTTTTAGCTATGAAATGATATTTTTCTCTCACAATAAATCCTACGAATCAACGTAGCAGCCCTAAGTCCTGCCGAACAAAGCCCGATTCCACAGTCAAAGGCGAAGGACGCGCAGGACAAAAAGGTACGAAAGCCGGGGAGGATCAGAGTACGGCTCACGATTCGGTGCCCGGCCGCTTTTGTTCGTCGCCGTCGTCACGTCGTCCCCGCCGGACCGGAGCGAGAGAGACGTCTCGCTCTGGCGTGGAACGCACGTTAGGTTCGCCGGTCAACAGGCAAATGTTTAAGCGCAACACAACGTCATCTGCACGCGTTTTCGTTTCTACTGGCGCGTGTTTAGTTGCCACCCTAAATTTCAAAAAAATGCTACAGTAGTCATCACATCGAATCTTACGATACGTACATGGAGCATTAAATATAGACGAAAAAAAAACTAATTGCATAGTTTGATTCGAAATTGTGAGACGAACGTTTTGAGCATAATTAGTCCATGATTGAACACTAATTGCCAAATAAAAACGAAAATGCTATAGTAGCCAAATTCCAACTTTTCCCCGACTAAACACGCGCTGATTTCATTTGCGGAGAAAACTTTTGATACACATATTTTCAATTCTTGCGCTGAGGGGACAGAATTTCATTATAAATATGAATCAAGTTATAGTTCACTTTAATATTATCCTAAGTTATTTTTTTTAAGTTTGATTAAATTTATAGAAAAAATTAACTTATGAAAAGATTAAATTTAACTTATGATAAGAGTAAAGTGAGCTATATAGCTTGGGTGGACGCGAGAATGGTGTGTAGAAGAATCCAACCGATGAGAGCGATACGTGTACATGTCTCACACACACTGACAGCATAGGTACTGTGTGGAAAACGAAGTCCATGTACGTGTCTGAAAATTGATGGTGGTGTCGGCGGTGTGAACAGGAATTTGAGGTGTCGGATGAATTCCAAGGTAAGCAGCCTGTTCGCTGGTTAGATTGAGCTAGGACTTATTAGTTAGTTAATAATATTTTTCTCTCGTAATAAATCAGCATCAGTTAAATTTATCAGTCTATAAACCAACCAACGAAGACGCTCTTAACAATCATTGACTTGAAGGAACAACCTGACGGATGACCCGTTGTCGCCCGCGAATTCAGCATCAGTTTCGCTTTTGCAAGTACGGTACGGTGTCTTCCCGTTTTTCTTTTCTTTTTTCTTATATTATTATCTTTTCTTTTGGAAAGGCCAGCAAGTAAACTGTTTGGCATTTATACTACTCCTATACAGACGAAAGAACATAGCTGGAAAATTCACAGGGCGGTGAAAACTAAACTGCTCCCAAAACCAGGTAAGAAGAAGATTACAGGGGTCTGGTTCAATAGTCAATACAGTGATAATCATGTTCAAATGTGTGATAATCCAGTACAGTTAAATATCTCGCATGTTTCGCAGCTAGCACACATCTTTGTTGCGTCACTCACGTACGGATCAAGAATTCAAGATGAAGCAGACAAGACCCGTGAATGTATTTGGCCCAGGGAATTAGGGAAATGACAGGATATTCTATCAAGCCAAGCCTCTACTCCCTCCGTCCCATTGAGTTTGTCGTTGGAAAACCGTGCCCCCCTCACAATCCCGCTTCCCGAGCGACAATCTTAACGGGACGGAGGGAGTACTCTACACCCGTTTTTTTCTTGGTCAGCAATTAGGTGAGCTGGCGCGCACAGACACACACAATGATTGGCCTTTTTTGCTCCTCTCTCTCTTGGCACTTGCTTGTGTATGATAAGAAACAGCCACTTTAACAGCCTGCCTGCCTGCTTATCATATCCTGTATTTGACTCCATCTCCAACTGCAAACAACTACTCACTCTAATACAGTAATACTCCTACTGTCCTATGATACAATGCTCATCATTTGATTTGCTGCTCATCTCATATGACAACGCAAGATACAACGCTAACTGGTGCAGTTCTGTTCCAGTCATGACATTGCTTTCGATGGAATATGAGATCCCATTGCCCCGTTCGCTTCGCTGAAAAAACAAGACGAAACACAGTTTCGGCTGATTTGTCATGAGAGAAAAACACTGTTCTGACTAAAAAAACAAGCTACAAAGTACGGATTACAAGACATCAACAGGGCCAATCCATTTCCGAACCCTTCAGGCTTCAGCCTCCAGAAGCCGGCCGGGAACTGTATGGAAACTGTGTACGTCAGGCAGAGCACAGACGGCCGGCCGGCACGTTTTCTACTGAGGCCTTACTTAGTTCCAAAAAGTTTTTCTAAAAAATGCTACAGTAACCATCTCATCGAATCTTGCGATACGTGCATGGAGCATTAAATGTAGACGAAAAAAAACTAATTACACAGTTTGGTGGGAAATCACGAGACGAACGTTTTAAGCTTAATTAGTCCATGATTGAACATTAATTGCCAAATAAAAACAAAAATACTACAGTAGCCAAATTCCTAAATTTCACGGAACTAAACCAGGCCTGAGAAGTGGCATATTCCTGCAGAAACCTCCTGCTATGCAAAACAGAGAATGAAAGACGACAAAGTTGGAATAATCGCTTTGGCAAAATGTAGCATATCAAACTCCTTTTTCTAAACTCACCAAAAGCTGCGACTTTCTGGATATCAAAATCATTCATGCATGTAGCACATGGGTTTTTGGCTCAATATGCGGCGATACTAGACCATCTTCGTCAAAGAAAACACCTACCCTTTTCACAATAAAAAATTATCTTTTTTCCTGCTCCCAGAAAAGTTAAGCAATTGCATTGGCGAGAAACAGAGAAAGCAAGAGTTCTTGGAGAGCGAAAGGGGGTGAGTGGAAGCTCACATTTGAATATTTTATGCAGTAAATCTCAGTGCATGTGAGGCTTGACGAGTCATCTCTCTGCATGTGAGTTCTTGACGAGTCCACCTTCACATAACCAAAATCAAAGGGTTAGTAGTAGTAGTAGATAGAAAAGTAAAAATGGTGGCAAGTCATGGTTCCGTGTCCGTACGTACGATTTAGTGGAGACCAACCAGCCTAAACTGGTCAAACAAAATTAGGTGCTTGAAGAAACTGAAACAGACCATGGCTCCTTGGAAGCTGATTATATTAAATTACGAAAAGATTATGCTGGATTGGCTTCATGAAGTCACAAAGGGGTACCGTACCAGGCAGATCAGACGCATGTACGTTAGTCAAAAGCCGCTGCATTATAATGAAGAGAATATCTAGAATACTCCAGATCCATCGAACCAACTGTCAACTGAGAATTGGTAATGAATTGATGATGATGAGAGGAAATCAACTGACCTGCAGGTTTGCAGCACACTTGTTGCTGTCATGTCTCCTAGGCTTCATGGTTTCAATTGATAATGTGAACAAGATGTGAGATGAAACAGGTTAGCCTGCACTGCAAAGTTTGCAGCAAGCTTTCTGATCACACCCTGTTCGCTGATGCTTATGCTGAAATGCTGTGAGAGGAAAACACTGTTCTATGGCTGAAAAATAGTTCTGAATAAGCTCAAGCCAACAGGGCGGCGTCTTCATGGTGCCCCATGACAGCAAGTAGGCTCTGCATATCAATTCCAGAAGGGAAATAAAAATACTAGGGACAACAAAAGAAAGTCACACTCCAGCTACAAGACATCAAGAACGTAATGAAATGAGCAATAGGCTGTAGGGTCACATTCAGAATACTGTAATTGTCGATGTGATTTGAAGAACGGCTGCGACGTCGTCAGCTTGCTGACAGGGAGATAAAGATGCCACCCAGGCACGAGCACGACGGCACTCCTGCATTCTTACAGAATGATTGCAAATTCATGCCGGAGAATTTCTTCAAACGTCATTTTTCTTCATATATTTCTGCAACATGTTTACATGTACAGTATGATAGAAGGCACTGCTCCCCCCAGTCCCTCTACACGTTGCATTGGCAAAAACAACAACAGCAGCAAAGAGCCAACCTATACGTATATACATACAGCTATACATAAAGAATGGGTGTCAAATCCGGTTGAGTCTCTAGCTAAGACCTCATACACGGACATACCTCTTTCTTTCCTGCAAAATGGAAAATTCGCAGAATCTTCCTTTGCAACTATCTTGAAATCGACATCGTCCATGTAACTGATAGTCTGGCTGCTGCAAGCTGGACCTCTAACAGCCAGCAGCCCTGAGGAAATTGTCGTACGGGCTCGCCGCCGGTAGCTTGAGAGACTGTTGTTGGAAGTCCTGACCTGGCTGTGCGTTGTCGCCATTGGGACCGTTCATGTACTGTGGATATCCCTGAAGGCTGTCATCAGCGAATGGATTCGTGCTATGTGCCCCGGCCTGCTTAGAATTGGACGTTCACGTCAATATCTTGTTTTTGGGCCATGTTCGATTTTAAATGAAATTATTGAGGATAAATAAATGGCCTTGCGAATGGGAGGTACTCTACCTGAGGCAACTTCGGATCTTGGAAAAGGTCCAACTCCATTTGGTTGGGCTGGCTGCTTGGCAGCCCTGCCGCTTGCACGCTTTGCTGGAAGCTCATGAAGGCAGACATTTTCTGCTGTTTCCCGATCGTCAGGGCTTCGCAGTGGCTAGTCATATCCTTGAATCCAATGTCTGCTGACACTACTCCAGCCTGAGGTGCTGGTTCTGAACCAACCTGAAATAAATGACACGGAAATCTCAACTGTAATGCAAGGCAATCTCAACATGACAGTACCCCAAGGACAGGTAAACCAAGGAAAAGCAAGGAAGAATGGATTTCTCATACCGTTTCAAGAAGCTGATCGATACTCAGAAGATCTGATGCAGGTACAGAAGATGCGGAAGCTTCTGTGCTTTCTGAAGCTTCCCCAAAAGCATCATGGTCATTCCCCAGGTCAATCAGCAAACCCTGTTAAAAAGAACACATGATTTTAGCATGGAAACTAGGGGATGGATATGTGTCACTGTGCCAGATGTATATACCTCTTGATGGTGACCAGTCTCATGAGACCCTGATGAAGGATTATCAACATGCACTTCAAAGAACTGAGTGCTTGTAGGACACATGTCATCGGGAGTGAAATCACTTAGCAATTGGCTTCTCACATTATGCAATTCCGCCTGCAGAAATAGGAAAGTCATCAGCAGCTGCATGGAACTCGGTCAAAACAATGAAAACAAGATGCGATCAGGAAGGTCAACATTACATCCAGCATATTTGCAATGCTGTTCATGATTGTGGAGACTATGCACTCTCGAGATTGACTTTCTGATAGTTCTATTTCTGAAAGGGACTTCAGTGCATTACTGTTGTCCTCTGGCGATCCATATATTTTTGAAGGATCATCTGAAGAATCCTTGACAGCTGTAAGTCTGCTCTCATCCATCAAATGAAGGAACGGATCGGCCTAAGCAAAATAGCAAAGAAATGTGAAATAAGGCACATGGCATACATGAAGAGTCCTTAGGAGTCAAGATGAAACAGAAGTACTTTGAAAATCAATACCACTTTCCTTCTTAATTGAAAGGCAGAGCTGCCATTGTGTTCAAAAAAAAAAAAAAAAAAAACCACAAAACCTCAGTTGATCTCCACAGTAAAATGAAGATGCAATCAAACTCTAATTTGGTATATCAACAAAAATAAATCAGGAGGCTGCCAAGTCTATGCATCATTGTTGTGATCAATATGTATAGAACACATTTGTCAATTTAAACTCTAAACCATAGGGCACAGAAGGATAGCAAGGGCTATAAGATGGAAAACAAACTTTCCAGGGACAGCTAAACATAAAAAGCTCATGATTTACAAACAAGTAGTAGGGTACATACAAGAGATACTGAGAAAAAACAAGATCAAGTAACAAGTTTGATTATAAGCTTAATTCTGAATCTGACACTCAAATTGGTACCATAATGCGTTCTTATCACTTCCCAACTAATATTCTATGCCATCATTCTGTACAGTCTTGTTTAGGGAGTTACCCTACCATAACCAAAAGAAAACGCAGATAAATAAATGAGGCTTCAAATTTTGATCTTACATACCGCACGATCATTGATCATTTGTTTACAGATCGGGATGAGTGGCAACACATTGTAAGCTCTTGACGAGAAAATAATCATGGCTGTGGACAGAGTAAACAATGACCGGCGCCGACACGGTTGTAATGAATCTGCAAGGTTAGAAAGGACAAAAAAAAAAACACAGACAGTTAGAAAGGAAACAAAATTAAAACCACATTTAAGTATATGTAACTTCTGTGCCATCATGTACGATATGAAGCCTATTTCTCAGAAGTTACATTATATGGTACACTAAATTCTTATTAACTTGTAACACTTTAAACGGAATTTGACTGTATCACCTGCTTCAGTGAGCGAATAGCTCCTCAAAGAAAATGCAACCTGAAAACTCTGAGTAAGAGCCTCAAATGTTGATGCCTGGAAGAGGAAAGGCGAAAACATCAGCAAGTAGGACCTAACAGTTGAATTTCTCTCCTCCCTCCTAAAGGCCCTTATGTTTTGTTTAGGAAAAGAAAAGGCATAAGGTGCTAGTAGTTCACCAGAAGAAACAGGAGGAGGAATTAACATAAGAGCTGCTTATGAATGGGCTTAGGGAACATAGTACATGTTGAAAATAAGAGAAGTAACAGAACACTAAATTCAGACCTCATGAAACGTATAGACTATAGAGTAACAGAAACTTGTGAAAATATATGATTCCTGGAATATGAGGTTAGTTGCAGCAAGTTCTAATGAGCTCTAAAGAAAATTGCAACCCTTTTTGTGTAATACTTCTTAGTTTATACTTTATAGAAGATCATGATTTGTTCCTCACATTGTTGTCTAAACTCACTGAGCAGTTAGCGCTACCCAACAAGAATCGAAGGGACCTATTAAGGGACTTGGGGTGAGGAATAGGGTGGTCCATCATCTTCTCACTGATCACTTTTTTGTTGGTTTGTTGAATTGAATGGGTTGATCCATCAAAACCGCATCCCTCACAAGCACATAATTAGTATATAAGCATGAGGGACCTAAATTTGCACAGACATCTTCTAACTTTAAAATGTGTAGTGCATATTCAAAAATTGGTCTTTATCAGCATATCTAAGCAAGAAACTTCTGGTCTATCATTGATTTTAGGAGTGCTGTAAAGAAAAGCTACTATATAGATTGTAAAGATTTGGAGGAATAAAATGCAGGATTTACAAGATCCCTTTGTGTTCCCTTCCCCCCAAAACATTTCCAGGTCCAAACAGAACTTGCAATCCTACACAATATAACCTCATCTCCACAAGTAAATGTTGGACTGGGTGACAATTGAATAATTACCAGGTTCCTTCCTTACAAGCAGGTATTGATATCAAGGAAAAGAACACCACATATAAAGTAGGATTACCTTGGATCCAGAGAACAACAGAAGCAAACTGTAAGTATGAGCAATTGCTTCATAGTTCGCAGAGGAGTATTTTTCAGGGATGTTGCTTGAGCCCAAATGGATGACAGCAAAAAAGTGTGATCTGACGGGTACTCAGTTTCACCAACACTGATTCCTGAATGCATTAAGCATAGTGCACAAACAATTATTCATGATAAGAAATCTTTTGCTCAAATGTAGCTAATTATCACTTCATACATTCTGGGTAGAATTGATTATACCGTTTCCTCATCTGACTTGTTTGAGGAACTTTGGTCTTCCTTTACAGACATAGAAGGTGCTCTTGAAGACATTGAAGGACCTCTCAGAGATATTGAGGGAGCTCTGATCGCTACTGAAGGAGCTCTCATGGCCATTGAAGGACCTCTTTTCATGGAAAAATTAGGAACTTTCATGCTACGGCGGCGGCTTTGAGACACGTGAAGGTTTTGACTCTTCGATTGTCCGGTCCCTTCACCAACGCTTATGCAAACTATTGTCCTTGCTTTCTCCTTGTGAATTTTCTGAGTACTTGTCCTTTTCATCTTGTCAAAGATAGCAGCCGAAGAAGAAAATACAGAGACAGCCCTAGAGTGTCCTCTGCATGTCATGTTTCTTTGCCTGGCCAGAGGGACTGGCTTGAATCGAAGGGGAAACAGAAGATGGGACTAAGACAATAGCAAATATGCGGTGTGCAGCAACACGAGCTTCATGATCGGGGTGGATCATTGTTAACAGCAACTGATGAAACAGAGCTTCAGGAAACACCTGGCATCAAGTATAGAAGATAGGTTTCAAACCAGAAGAAAGTAATGTTGTCTGGGATTAATTTTAACACTTCAACTCATTTATTCTAACAGCATACCTTATTCTGATATTGCAAATTTGGCACGGAAGCAATTATTTGAGCTGTGCGATAAACAGCAGCTGCAGTTGATCTAGCTACAACAGGAGTGCTCGCAATGTTTTCTAGCATAACTGCCATCATGTCAAGAACTGGCCCAGCATCAGTCACCTGATCAACACAACAAAGTCTTGATAAGTCTTATATGCATTGTGCGTAGATCATATGAAACTAATCAACATATTATACAGACCAAACTGCAAGGAGGGATCAGTTAAAAAATCACATTTACTTAAGTAGCACCATTATATTGTGACACGAAGGTAACATAAAATTTCAGATGGAGAAAATGGCAAATGCACCTTCTTTGACAGCTGAACTAGGCATTCATCTATGCCCTTCCGGAATTTCTCGTTCCATTTTACTAATTCCATATCTTTGCTGCCAAGAGTAATGTGGAATGTCCTTTTCAAATGCCTCACAAGATCACTTATGGCACCTATAGTTGCTGGTGAAGCGATAGCACTGGATTGTTCTGCAAGGGTAGCTGCCACCTCCACGATGCTAAGCTGCATGTCTGGCTGCTTCAACATTGTCTTATGCTCAATATGTTTTATCAGCAGTGACAGCATTAAGTGCATATTTTGTCCTACAGAAATCGTTTAAACAACATAAGTAACCTTACCCGTATACAATATACTTAGACTCATCAACTACAATGCAAAAGTAGCACCTGAGCTTTCTACTAAAAGTTGCATGTCCAACAAGACACACAAAGCAAGTCCATTTTCTGATAACCATGAACTATTGTTACCAAAGTACCGAAACAAACATTCCAAGATGCGGCGGAATGTGGTTGCCTCCCTAGAAAGCTTGGCCATATTGTGCACACAGATTCTGGACCAAAACTTAGGATCCCTGGCATCTTCCCTGAAGCACAGGAGTATGTTTAGGAACCACTTGCTTACTGTATATGAAGAAAAGACAAAGTCAATCAAAGAGTAAAAGTAAGATTATATTACACTGGCACGTTGACTCCTCCCTTGACATTAACTATGTTCTCCCAAGAAGGAGCCGGAGTGATAATGAAAGGGGAAGGGGGGTGCTCAGCATTCTGGCCTTCCTGCACCAACTGGTTGTCAGCATCATTGGTACTTTGATCATCATTTTGCATCTTCTGAGGTTTGTAGTTTTCCAGTACAACTTGAACAACCTAAAAGATACAATAGAAAACAATCAGAGCTGATGAAACATTTGTGGCTGCAATCTGCTCGCAAAAGTGATAGTTTTAAAGTAACCAAATGAACATAAGCAAGGAACCTTCCTTGCAGTGCCAAATAAAGTTTCTTCTTTAGATGTAATCTCAAGATTGACAGGCACATATTAAACAGGAAAGTAACACAAGAAAAAAAAGCTCGCTTTCATAGTACTTACATTGTCAAACTCTGACGAGATATGAGAAAGCTCCCCATAAACCATACCTGCTCAAAAAAAGAAAACTACATGATATTATGACTGTCAAAGATAATTTTGTTTGAAAATTTTTAATGCTCAGTGGTTATGGCATAATAGAACAATAAGAAAAGCAGTAATCTTTAAGAAGACGTCCTCTGCATACACTGAAATATTTTTTGAAAAGAGATTTAAGTTCTAGATAGCTACTCCTCCATCAAAAACAAAACATGCCATCACCAGGCCGATGCCCAAAACTAAATGCATGTGTGACTGGAGGGAGTATGGGCAGTTACAATAATACAGAACCCACCTCCACTTGAACTACATGTTGTCATGTTTAGTTAATAAAGCAGAAATAGGAGCCAAAAATTGCATCAAATAGGGTTTGAACTTGGGTTATATAGGCAGATATCCACACTCTCACACAACTGAGCTAGGCTTAGTTCATAAGTTATGCATATGAAGTTAGTCAACTCATGAGTAATTATTGCCTTGAGCTTTCATTGCTTGCATCCTAAGAAATGAAGTAAACTGTGAATTAGAGAGTTAGAGTTATGTTGGAAGAATGTTTTAACTTCCTCTTGGAAACAGGAGTATAACAGTTCTCTTACACTTTGAGTTTTGAACTTCCTATTCATTTATCCAGAACTTTTAGAAAGCCATGCTAACATATGACATCAGTTTGATATGGCGCAATCACAGAACCTACCATAGCTGAAAGAGATTGCAGGGCTGCAGCTCGTAGGGCAGTTGCCCTCTCATCTTCTCCTACTTCTTGGGCTATTTCACACAGTCTTGGGACTAGCCCTTCCAAATTGAACTGATATGTACCATCCACCTGGAATAGACAGACTCAAGATCACTAATAATGGGACATACCTATATATAAACTGAATCCTGCTAACGGACAATGGCATCTACTCCAACAGGAATACCTGATTCACAGCAAAATCAAACAAGGTTTCACACCCAACGATGCGCAAATCATCCTGCCTCTTTTGGTCTAAAAGAGTGTGTACAATGCTTAATAGGCTACTTGCAAACAGAGGCCTGAATTAAGAAAATAACAATTACATTTTTAACCAGCAAAAGTAATAATAAAGTGTAAGAAGTATCATTGCAAACCAAATAAAAATATTAACTTCACAGAATCCAGGGCCATATGAGCAAGAGAAACTTGAAAAGAAGACTCACATCTGTTCTCTACAGGAAACAGACAGTCTGCGATATATCAACATCACCACTTTTGCAAAGCCGTACTGCTCACTTCTTAAGTCCCGGTAAATATGTTGCTCCAAGTAAACTGTGATCTGCTCAGATATAAACATGCATAACACGACAAGCTTACTGAGACTGAATTTGACCAAGGAGACAAGGGAACTATACTTGAAACATTAAGTTAGAGGCCAAGAACAATGTCCCATGGGCCATGAGGCATCTCCAGTTTCGAGATAAGTTACACTACTCGATCCTCGATTGCAATTATAATCTGTACTACTACAGTAGCTACAGAGCTAGCAAACTGTATTCTAGCAGCAACAGCAAGAGCAATTCGCTCAAAAGGTCAGAACCTCTACACCTGGCATGGAAACAACAAAATTCAAATTAGGAAGCAAGGGGGTGAACCTTTGGCACTCGAAGAGGGTTTTTTCAAGCGTACTCGCATAACTTCCCAATCCTTCTCTCGTTAGGCTCTTCATCCTGCAACAGAAACAAACATGCTCCTTAAATAAATAAATAAATCCGAGACATAGTTCAAGCGTAAACATGCTCACATTTGACAAAAGGAAAACGGATGCAGCATGTCCCGACCTGTGTTTTGGGGAAGATTTCAGCAAGGATCTTCTTGTACCGCTTCACGGGCATCCGGGACCGCGTTGTGAGCCCGGGGCAGAAATAGCAGAGTGATACCATCCTATACTTCTATGTTAACAATTGAAGAACGTGTCTGTCAGTGCAAATGGCATCAGTGAGAAACACCTCGTGATCCAGATTCCAACAATGAAAACAATAGTGGGTTGATCAAAGGGGGGAAAGACTTCAAAAGGATTTCGGGTGAATCTGTGAAAACTGAACCAGCAAACGATGATCAAATTAAAGCAGACAGACAGTGATTTAAACTGAAGACAACCGCACACAAATGAAACCAAAACTGAAACCATCCAGAAACTTGCAAAACTGGTAACCAGCATTCGACGATCAATCGGCGTCGACGCAAAGAGAACCCAAAACTGAGGACACGATCGATCACCCGCGAACCATCCAGCGATCCCCATCATCAGCGCACACACCAGAATCGACACAACGTCGAGTGAAGCGTGGGATAGAATGCGAGCATTACATTTCTACGTGGCGCCTGCCGGCCGGCGAGTTGGTCGGTCGGATCGAGCTGCCGTGGCACGGGAGTCAGGCGGGGCCGGATCGGGGAATGCGGGACGCCTGCGTCCGCGCCAGTGGTCGTCCTCCGCTCCTCCGCCTCCGACCAGGAGAGACGCGACGCGCGCCGGGGTGGGGGGTGGAGGTGGGGCGGTGGGGCGGGCGGGGAGGGAGGGACGGAGAGAGGCACGCACGCGCGCACGCCCCCGGTTATTCGCGACGCGGCTTTGCCCTCGGTGGCGCGGTGACAGCGGGGGTTGGGTGGGTAGTCGTGATGGGAGGGAGGGGGCGAGGAGGGTGGTGGCGTCCCGCCGTCCGCTCGTGCGTGCGGCCCGGCCGGGGCTCCAGGATCGCCGGGCGCGACTTCCGCCATCCTCGGCGGCGAGAAAGGGATCAGGCCCGCCCTCCAGATTTAGGCAGCAACCCGTGCGTGTTTGCGCGTGCCAGCAGACCGGCAGTTGCCTCAGCCCTCAGCCTATATACCTAAACCGAGGACCTGAGGTGTTTCCGCAAAAATCAGGACACATACGTAAAGTATTAAATGTAAACTAATTATAAAATTAAATGTATATATGCTAATTTACAAGACAAATTTTTTAATTTTAATTAATCCATGATTTAACAATGTGATGTTACGGTAAACATATGCTAATAGCGGATTAATTAGACTTAATAATTTCGCCTCACTGATTAATGAGGACTCCTATAATTTATTTTTTTATTATCATCCAACCACTCGATGTGACACTCCATGTGACACTTTTAAATAGCTAGCTAGACTGGATTTAGAAATAATAAAAAAGATTGGATTTAGAAATAATTAAAAAAACATTATAGTGGAGAGTTATTTGAACTATGAGAGAGTTGTTTCTAAAAGATCGTGCTAAACTAACTATTTAGGAGTCGCTAGCTATTTAATATTTCTCCCTTCTAAAAGATCGTGCTAAACTAACTATTTAGGAGTCGCTAGCTATTTAATCTTTCTCCCTGATAGCCAATAGAATTCTTCATGAACTAGCTATTTGAGAACTATTAGGAACGCCCTGATAGCCAATGGAATTCTTTCTGGACTAGCTATTTAGAAACTATTATGGACGCCTTAGGGTGTATTTGGTTGAGGAATAAGATGGTTCATCTTTTTCTCACTCCTCGCTTTTATTTGTTTGTCAAATGAATGAGTTTCCACCACCACCTCATTCCTCACAAGCTAATAATTAATTCTACATCTGTCTCCAAAAAAATACAACTATATTATGTGTGTTAAAGTGCTTCAAGTCTCTAGTAAACATTATTCACATTTATGGTTTTAAATCAATTTATTATAAAATATATTTCATAATTGATATTATAAATATTTATATTTTTATCTATAATTGGTTAAACATGACATCGTTCGTAATTATATTATTTTGAGGGGACGGAGAGAGTACATGCACGAGGAATGAGTCGATTCCACCAAAATTCATGGGATGAACTCATGATGCATCACTTTACGAAGGATCAAAATTCATGGGAATCTTTTCATCGACCTTTTAACAATATTATTTATATAACACAAAAACTAACAAAAACGTTAAACTAGGCACAAATAATGAACTCCGTGTCATGTAGGAAAGAGAAAACTTTTCAAAACCATGAAGGAAAATCTATGCATTTTCAGTCATATAGGAAATGTTCTCCTTTCAGAAATCGGGCATTATCTCATTCTCACGTACTACAAATTCATTTTCCATCTTGATAAATTCTCACTCTCACAAACTACTATTCATTTCCCATTTTGACAAATTGTTTCTAAAGACTGCTAGTTGATGGATCATGATTTTCAATGAGATGTGCATGATTCATCAAGAATATATGAGTCGTGATTCTTATAAAGGTTCCTTTGAATTAGACAAATGTAATAATCAGTGACTCAATTTTCTCATATTACTAGGAGTAAATAAATTACCCATACACAGGTCTCGACCACCGTACTATTCAAAAGACAAGCCAAATATAGGTTTGACTTAACATTCTAATTCGATTGTCATCTCATATCATTCAATTATTACCAATGTTTCTTAAGCGGTAAAGCGGTTTTACACGGTTGCCCTTCGTTTTAGTGTTTAGGCTGTTTATACACGGTGTTTAAACGAAGTTAAATAGTCTAAACGTTTTATGCTTTTTAAAAAAAAATACATATAATTATATGTGCATGTAAAAAATCAAGTATTCTAGCATTTATACATATTTATCCGAGTAAAATCAATTATTTTGATATGTATATATATTTATGCAAGTGAAAAGAAACAAATATAGATATTTATGCATGTAACATATAAGTGTACACATTTTTAAATATAATAAACTTAAGTATATAAATTTATCCATACAAAACTGAACTAGATTTACCTCATGTTCACCTAAACAACCGTTTAAACAGCTGTTTAGCCTGTTTAATGTTGTTTATCTCCGTTCCGTTTAGGTCCTTTAGACCATTTTTTTTTCATTTTTTGACCGTTTAAACGGTCAACCGTTTAATTTCCATTTACCCCCTAAACAAAACAGTTTACCACCGTTTACTCGCCGTTTAAACGAGGCGAACACTGATTATTACATATTGATACCATACAGTTCTTTAACTGATCGTATCTCAACCCGGCCAAATTCAGGCCAACCTGCTTTATCAGTTCTAAAAACATAAGAAATGGAACCATCTCCTCAATACCAAAGCTCACTACGCACACTGCATGACTAATCCTACTTCTCTCATCCTCTGCTTCCTTCTCATCTTCCAATTCATGTACACCTGAAAAACGATAAACGGAACCATTCTCCATGCAATTGACATAGTTCGCGCTGATCCAGAAAACAGCCAGCATCGGGCCATGCCTCAAATGCTTCTCAAGGGCAAATCGAATATGCATATACTGGGACACATCATACCTTTTATACCCAGAAATCTTATGCATTGGGCATGAAAGTCGTTGTCCCTACAATTGACAAGTGGAGAATATTAATTAACTCGGCTACATCAAGAGATTGAACAGGCTGCTCCAAATAAGATTATGCTTTTTGTCATCATGATTAGTCTGGATACAAAACAAGAAATAAGATTATGTATTATACCTTGAGGTTTAAGTTATAAATATGCTCTGACGGAACCTGTTCGGCTGGGATTATACGATCGTAAATTTCCAGCCGGAACAGTATTTTTCTCTCACACCAAACCAGCCAGCAGTACTTCTTCACGATCCAGCAACGAACAAGCCCAGCCAAACGAACAGGCCGATAACAGCTGCTCCACTCTTCCCAATCTCCTCAACGCACCATTAGTCTGAATAACCTTCACATGCTTCTGCTTCAAATACTTTATGGACAAATTGTCCACAAAACCTCGTTGAATTCGCAGATTTGACTCCAAAGCAGCAATAACTGAGTAATAACTACATTCATCTGCATTTAAGTTTATAGAAATTAAAAGAATTAATAACATTTACACCTGACAATAAATTGGACCTTGTATCGAATATAGAAAACAAATCTAAATGTAGAAATTTACCTTTCCCAGTATCTCGCCTCCCAGTTAAAACAGGTGCACCATAAGCTATCCTATTATTCCAAGTGAACCGTCGGTAATTCCTCTTGTACATCTCTACTGGTCGCATACCTAATGAAAGGGGAAAAAAACATAATTAGAAACTGTTGGAGTATTAAGTGTTTTTCTGGAAATTGAATTTTAATGGAGACAGAACTCCATATGATGAAGCAACAAAGCCCGTTCATTTGATCAAGTCTCAGCTTGTTTCAGCTTATTCTCTCTCTGTAATACTATTGAATCAACCGAAATCAGCCAAAAATTGATCAGCCGAACGGGTTGTTCAAAAACAAGCCCTAAGGTTGAAATGTTGGTGATAGAGTTGTAATATGCAAATAATAATAATAATAATGCAGTGCAGTTCCGTAGCAAGTGCAAGGGGGAGATCCATGAGCAGAGAAATCTCTCTGCTGTGGAAGATGTGGCAGTACACAAAGCAAGATATATGGCACAGGAGACTCATGGAGTCATGTAGAGAAAAGCTTGAAGGCCGAAAGATAGATTCAACGATAAAGTGATAAAATTGAGATTCACGCTGATTAAAAAATAGAAAACCATAGGGGACTATGATTCCAATAATTACCTCCAAATCTCCTAGTTGAAGTACTTATAGCAGCTCCAGGCAATGAGCATCACGAAATCAGCACCCATAAAAAATGAAACGCCCACTGAATGCTTCAAAATGGGAGGAGTGATCGGCAAAGAGCGCCCACCCATAAGAGTCAAGTTAGAGTGACATAATTCGTAAAACTGTACATATCCTTGACCAAATAATAAAAAATGATTAACATCATAACGAGTGGTCACTAGCCTTGACAAATTTTGTTTGAGGCAGCATTAACATCATAACAAGTGGTCATTAGCCTTGACAAATTGTCCAACAAGTGTACAGCTACCAACTTTAAAACAAAACTATAGTGACCTACTGCCAGCTAAAAGCTCTGCTAGATCACTGAAAAAAAAAACAGTGAGCCGCTACAAGTGCAGCTGCTAGCTTTGGCTGCTGATCTCCAATAAAACAGAGCTCTGGGTACCTACTGCCAGCTGAAAGCTCTGCTAGACCACCCAAAAAATTCAGTGAGCCGCTTTTCACTTCTGAACATGAATTGCCTAAAGGGTGAGGGGAATCGATTCCATTGTGAATGACAAGAAGGTGCCAGAGTTTGCATTGGTTCCTGGTTCCACTAATTCAGAGCTAAACATTGGATCAGAGATAAAGCTTCTTCTACTAATACTGATGCTAAATGAGGAACTGTACAGCCTACTAATTATTGGATCATGAGGTATGCCAGATAGGGCAATAAGAATATTGGATAATTCCATAAAAAACAAAGGATGTTGGATATATGAGGTAAGGTGGTTTTCTATGGTAACTGTGTACCTGATAATCTCTATTATGTGGGTTCTACAATTCAGATGAATGGATGAAAGATTGGTATTTTTTTTAGATTGGCTCAGATATATTGAAATTCGCTCTTATCTAGATTTCCTCACTAGTTTCACTTGTAGCTAATGCTTATTTGTTCTCTTTCTCTGTTTTTTCGTTTACAGCCAATCGAAAAAATTTAGATGTGTAGAGAAAGTTTTCATCTTCATTCTTCCTGGTACCGACTGTTTTCATATTCAGTTGTTAGGTGAGCATGTCTAATTTAGATAGGAAAGGTATAGAAAATTGTTTAGATATACAGAAAGGGCACACACAGCAGACTAACAGCTCAAATATTTTCATGTTTCCTAATAAACTACGCCACAGAACAGTCTATATCATCCATGAAATCAGATCAACCTACAACAAACTTTTTAATTTGAGGTGAGTGTTGAATCAAACTGAAATTGGTATCCTCCTATCTTTTACCAAATTGTAACAGGTGGTTAGATTGACTTAAGTTACAGAGATATGATGCCAAAAATTTAGAGATCTGAAACCAATGGTAACAGGAAAATGCTCAAAGGAAATTTGACTCACCTACTCCGGTTCTCTCAGCTAAGTTCTTTCTTCTTTTCTTTAAACAATTCTGTACCAAAAAAAATGGAATCCGTTAATCATTGTGTTTCCATATTAGCAATTGGAAGAATGGTTTTGAATTTGATTGGGTTGTACAAAGAAAAGAAAAAGAAACATGCATGAACCCAAGCATGAGATGGTTTCCATGTTGGGAAAAAAAAACAAAAAACCAAATAAAGTTCAGATTCAGATATTTATCCACTCATGACTACTGCACAGCTCCAGTCAGCCTCTGGTTGACCTGGAACACAAAAATCTTTATTTCTTGGCAGGTTGATAATTCAAGTAGCAATAGAATTTTGGACAAAGACACATTAAAGCACACCATTCAAACTAAGCTACTGAAGAGGCTAACCCACAGTCCAACTTCTGAAACCAGTTTTCCAATCATACTAACTCCAATTCCGTTGATTCTTCGTCATAAAATCATTACGTCAAACCCTATCCATCCATACCAGTTCTATATATAATGTTTTGAGCTCATTTGAATTGAGGACTGCTTTAAATTGACCAATTTCAATATGTAATTGTTCTGGGTGTCTTTCTTACCCACAAAAAGGGTCTTGTGTCTGGCACCAGGCTGATATGTATCTATGTGAGCCTGCCTAACAGCGAGGAGGAAAAGGATTCAGGAGAAGGCAATAGAACGTGTAATGCGTATTTGCTGAAAATTTTAATATTATACTTTCCGAACATAGCAGAGAGGTGATATTTCAGCACAAGTCCAAGAATGCAGCAAGAATATCTAAGCAATAGTGGCATGTAAGTTAACACCTTAAAATTTTTTAGTGCCTTTTCTGTAAATTTGCCAAATAGTAAGAACAGTCATAATGAAGTAAACAGTGTTTACGGGTTACAATTTTCAGTACTGTGGTAGTGCTATAGAAAATTCAAATGAGTGATAACAAAACATAACTCTAACTAACTGTCTCATCATCACATATCCTGATCCCATTTGCACTGCCTATCGAAATGCCACCAAGGTGGGGAGGATGAAGAGCAGAAGGGCTAGGAACATTCAGTGCAAAGCACACAGAACTGCAGGCGCAGATCCAGTAAAGGACATGGGTGTAGGAAGCGTTGAAGAAGTTAGCCAATAAGCTTTGAAAGGGGTCGAAAAATTAGGAGGCATAATACATGTACACAAATGTAATTAGATCAGATCCTAATACAAATAACCAATTAGCTTAATTTAGGGTTGGGTTCTCGGTTTCGCACAGCAGGAAGGGGTTGGCACACCTGGTGGCTGCAGCGAGCGAGGAGGAGCAGTAGCGCTCTTGCTGCTGCTGCTCAACGGGATGCGGCCGCTCCTCGCCGGCCGTCCCTGGAGCTCCCGCCGAGCAGGACGGGGCCGAGAAGGATGAGCGGGCGGAGTCCTGAGGCTGAGCGGGCCCTAGGGTTCCGGCCGAGGCCCGAGGCTTCGCGTCCGGCGGCCGGCCACGGTCCAGCGTCGGCGCGCTGGCTGGGGCAGGGGCAGGGCGCGCGCGGGCGTCGGCGGCGCAGGGCGGGCGCGGGCGGCGGCGTTGGCGCAGGGGAGGCCTTCGAGTGGCGAGGTGGAGGAGGACGCCCGACGGCAGCTGCGTTGCGGCGACAGACTCGAGGGTGGGTGGGGGGTGTGGGCGGCGGAGGGTTTTTTTTTGATTGATTGGTACAACTTTGCAAGTTTTCAAATATCGTTGCTGCTGCTTTAATTCCGCGCGTGTTGTCGCAGGACCTCTAAAGAAATTTTAAGTTGAAATCTGATCGTAAAAGGGCACATCCACTTTAGCACAAAACAAAACGGTGATGAAATGTTCCGAAGAAACTGCTTGGTGACATAATTTAATCGTGTTTCTTTGGTTGGTTACGGCTTACTACCGATAAGTTTGGTGATATTAGTTTATTAGGAGAGGAAAATATCGTTGGTTACCGATAAGCTTCGATTAAAATCAACAAGCGAATATGTTGAATATTGCTATTGTACGATGAAATTTTGGCACGTTGTAAACATTATAGAGCCTATTTTTCTTTTTTGGAAAATAATATAGCCTATTTATTAGCATAAGTCGAACGAGGTCTATAAAATAATTTGACAATGACTACCAAACGGTCTATATAAAATATTTGGACCTCAAATATTGCTAAAAAAACTAATAACCATAAATTAGCACAAAGGATAATTAACGACAATATTGGGCTTATGCAATGGCCCATATCAAAATGGTACATGTGTGGCTTGCTCGGTCTTCCAGGTACATGATGAAGTTTTGGATAAGATAATTAGTGTATTGCTAATTGAACCCAGTTAATTATATCAAGTATGTGCACGTTTCATGGCTGAAATGGGTGAATGCACAAGCTAATTAATCCCTTTGCAAGAAGATGCATGCACGTGAGTTGTTTGACTAGCCGTGCATACGTGTGTATATAAATACTTGTACAAATACAAGATTGTTGCGGCACATATTTTGACTTGCCCAATGCCCAACATGCACCATGCAACCTCACGAAAATTTGTTGCGGCACATATTTTGTTGCCGGGCCTTTGGCAGTGTTCGGCTGGCTGGCTGGCCGGCCACCTCACGAAATCACTGTTCACGTACTGTCAGAACAGTATTTTTTTCTCATAACAATCAGCTGAAACAGTATTTTTCAGTCCTATCGAACAGGCCCGGCAGAGCCCTGTGCTTCCAGAAGCTTCCCGAGAGCACTGGCCACAAGGTTCAAAGTAGTGTTTCCGATAAATTCAAACGAATAATACTCTCTCCTGCCTAGCCTCTGTGCATGTATGCCACAGTGGTCTCCAAGTTGGGCCACTGATCAGTGACATTGTGCAATCGTCTGAATGGTTCAGTAGTATGCGATGAGATAAGCTCGCCAAGCATGATATCAACTACCAAAAAAAAATGCACAAATAAACTGAGAAAGAGAAAAGACCCTAAACCATGAGCTAGCCAAAAAAAAAAAGACCCAAGCATGACAGGGTGCAACACATGAATCTCATGAAGAAAATCACCGTGACAGAAAAGGAGCATTTTATTCACGATCACATAACAGTAAAAAACGTCAAC